ATGCCGGCCGACTGAAGCGTGCAGAGCGGGCTGCGCTGGAGCCCTTCCGGCACCGTCAAGCTGAGGCTGCGGGGGAGGCACGAGAGGACGGGGAAGGCCCAAGCAGCAGCGAGGAGGACTCTTTCGTGGTGCAACTTCAAAAGCGCCGGCGGCTTGCTCGCAAGGAGGTCAAGTATGACCTCTTGCGAGTATCCACCCGACCTCAAATATTGCAGAGCGCTTTTTTAGTGTTGCACGCACAACATTAGGTCAAGAGCGTCTCAGCCTTCAGCCTATCACGCTGGAAATAATCATGTTCCTGCGTCAGAATGCTGGCTACTGGAACGCGCAAACCGTTGACGACGCTACCCAATAGATGCAAATGACCGTGCCCAATATTTCATTATTCATTTGCTTTCTTTGACTAACTTCATTATGTATGTTCTTTTGCTGCAGATTGGCTGCCATGATTTATCTACAGACTGTCCCCAAGATGCCTATCAATGCCATAATCGGCAGGCCTGAGGCCACAGCATCAAAATCTCTACCAAAAGCACTCGGATGAGAGGTGTTCGCTGACAATAAACGTTGAGGCTTTTGACACGTCCAACAGAATACTTTCCAAGCAGAGAAATTTCGGCGTGGCCCCGTAGCTGATGCACATATTTAAACACCCGTGCCAGTCGAGAACGAACAACTTGTTGGTGAATACTGGAAGCAGCAGGCCCATCAGGAACGATAGGATTTAATGGCATCAAAACCTCTTCAGGACAAGCCCAGTGTATGCAGCATGAAGATGCAGTGAACAGCCTATTTTAAGAACGACTGTATCTGGAGGGCATGGTCTTCTATACTTAATAAAAACCTGGCAATGCAGAACGTTGAAAAAACCCTCAAAATAACGTTGTTTTTTTATATATATCTGGAGGTCATGGTCTTCTTTAATTAATAAAAACCTGGCAATGCAGAACGTTGAAAGCCCCCCTCAAAATAACGTTGTTTTTTTGCAATCGAGCAGATTCAATAACTAAAATTATTTTCAAATAAATAAATTAAATGGTATAGCTTAATAATTAAGAAAGATACTCAGTACAATTTTTTTAATTAAAAAGACTGTTTCAGTTTAGTAAGTTGTATTCAAACGTAAATTACGTTACGTAATGCAAAAAAAATTAGTGAATCGACGGGTTTATTACCTGGATATCTTTCCACGACGTACGGCCAAATTGTGGCACGTTACTGCACAGAGGCTCCAGGAGTCTGAACAGCCTTGTAGTTTTGGTCAATATCCTTGAAGCTTGGGTCGATGTCGTCTTCCTTTGCGATACCTTCTCTGTCCAAAGAACTCAGCTCCTCCAGCGTCAGGTTCTTCGTCTCCGGCACCCAGAACGAGAACAACAGACCCATGAAGCAGCACGCAGCGAAGATGTACAACACACCCTTGAAACCGAACGAGCCCTTCGCAATCACCGCGAAACACTGCGCGGCAATGATAGCTCCAACCTTGCCGGATGCAGCGGAGATGCCGTGACCCGTGGAGCGCACCGCCGTGGGGAACACCTCAGCAGGGATGATGAACGTTGTAGCGTTGGGACCGAAGTTGAAGAAGAACTGTGCGAACGAGTACATGACGACGAAGACGGCCGTGCTGTCGGTCTTGAGCTCGTTGAAGAAGATGGCCATGAAAAGGAACAGCAGCGTCAGCAGCGCGAAACCCATGTACTGGATGGGCTTGCGACCCCACTTGTCCACGAAGTAGACCGTGAACCAGTAGCCGGGAACTGTACCCGCGAGGTTGATAATAGCCGTGCCGACCGAGCGGTTCCACAGGTCGTCGTAGATCTTCTGGTTACCCGTGGACGATGGACTGCCGTAGCCGATGATTTCGAGCACCACCGACGTGTTGAGTGACGTGCCGTAGTAACCGATGTCGAGGAAGAACCAGGCTGCGGCACAACCGATGAGCACCTTAAGGTTGGCCCACTTGTTGAAGTAGGTCTTGAACGAGTAGGAGAAGTTCTCGAAGAATCCGGTCTTGCCGTCGCCCTTGACGTACATGTCGGTAGTGATCTTGTCTGACGCGAGGAACTGGTTGGCAGCACGTGCACCTTCCTCAGTGTCGCCGAGCACGTCCATGGCGTATCGTGGCGTTTCCGGAATCTTCAGACGCCAGTAAACTGCGGCCAAGGCGGGGATAGCGCCGAACGCTGCCAGTGTACGCCAGCAGTATCCGAGTGACGATGCACCGTTCTCGAGGATACTGTCCTTGGCTGCGGCTAGCACGATGATAGCCATGACAGCACCGGCGATGATACCGAAACCCTGCATGGCGAAGACGGTGGCGATCATGGTGCCGCGGCGTTTGGAGGACGCGAACTCGCTGGTGATGACGGCTGAGACGGGGTAGTCTCCGCCGATGCCGACGCCAAGCACGAAGCGCCAGATACTGAGCAAGATGAGCAGGTTGTTGGCATCGCCGTTGACGGGCCAAGCGGCGAAGCCACACAGCAGTGCGCCACCGATGAGCACCATAAGTTCGATACCGTAGATACGTTTGCGGCCGAGGATGTCGCCGAGGATGGCGAAGGAGATCTGACCCACTGCGTTGCCATAGGAGGAGGCAGCTTTGACCCATCCGTCAGCACGTGACGTGAGACTGGACTTGTCGAAGTATTCGTAGGCGATCATGGGCACCATGAGACCGATGACAAAGTTGTCGTACGAGTCGACAAAGAACCCGGAGCCAGCCACAAGGATGGCCTTGACGTGAGACTTGGAGAACTTGGCATTGTCGAGTGCGCTGAGTGCGTCGAAGCGCTGCTTGTCGGCCGGTGGGTGGTTAGCTTCGGCCATCTTTCCTCGCTCTAGCGATCGAAGTAGCTTGGGAAAGGGTGCAAATTG